CATGTCTTCCGCGATCAGAGTTGTAGCTTCGAGCCCGTGCACATGGATGCCTGCCGTGGAGCAGTTCGGCCTTCGATCTGATGAGGCAGCGAACATAGTTGAGGAGACGATTGCAGCTTCGCGCGCCTGTTCACATAATTCGAGCTGGTTTGTATATGTGTCATTTTCTCCTCATGCGTTCTCGCGCTAGTCAGGCCGACTGTGAGTCCTGCTTCTCGCGCAGCGTGACCTCTTTCGATGCTCGGACGCTTGGGGCAGCAGCCTGCGCCCCGAACGTGCCCTCAATGTGAGCTGCGCTGTCGACGGCCGAGTGGCTGAGCCCCCATCAACCGCAGATCGTAGGAGTGGCCCGCGCTGGCACGACGCACCTGCCAGAATCCTGGGCGACCTCTGAAGTTCATCAAACACGCGATCTGGAGCGCCCCGGGACGGCGCAAGATGGCCTCAAGGCGGCCTAAGAGGCCTCGGATACGCTCCGAAAAAGACCCCGAAGAGGACACCCGAGAGGGCCTCACGGGGGCTAGGCACGTCGCTTTTATGTGGGTCGCTGAAGGTGTTTGAGCTTATCGCCGAGTCGGGCCAAAAACGGCCCAAGACAGCTTTGGGAACCCCCGAGCATGCGTCAAGACGGCCCAAAGGCCCCCAAGACGGCCCAAGAGAGCTCCAATGTACGGCCCAAGGAGGGCCCAGGAGGGCCCCAAGAGGCTCACCCGGAAGCCCAGAACACGTCAAAACGGCTACAACGCGACGTTACAGACAAGAGAGCAGGGATAAGGGATAACATGAGAGGATGAGATGAAGGCGAGGGGACTATTAGAAAGAAGAGGATTAACGGCTGAGCCAGCGATCTCTTGCGCTCTGAAAGTGTATGCGCTTCCCGTCCCTGTGCTACGCAGGTGACGGACACAGCGAGGTGCGAGCGATGTACGTTGAGTTGGGGTGGCGCCTTCTAGGGAGGGGTCCAGGGGAGGGGCGATGGGGGTGAGCATCGGTGTAATGGCCGCCGGGGGGCCGCTTCCTTCGGATTTTGTTCGAATGAAGCCGCTCCTGGGCGGCTCCGATGGCCTTTGTCTCAGAATGTGTAAATATTACGCGGACAGGGGGGCCCCGAGACGGCCCACGAGGGCCCCAAAACGGCCCCAGAGGGCCCCAAGAGGGCCCCAAGCGAACTTCAGATGGCCTCCAGGCGGCCCAAGGGGCCTCACAACGGCTCCAAAGGCTTTCCAGAGGGCTCCCGAGAGGGGCCTGCGAAGGCGCAACCATGTATATTCCATTGGTGGTTGCCGGTTGTTCGGGTTCTCCCTTCTCGAGTCCAGCAGGGCCCCAGACGGCCTAGGAGGCCCCAGAGATCGACCCAAGACGTCCCCAGAGGCGCCCCAAAGGATGCGAAAACAGTCTAGAGGGCCCCCAGACGGGCCCTAGACGGCCCAAGACGGCCCAAGAGGGCCCCAAGAGGCTCCCAAGAGGACCCGAAGAGGCGGTGTGGGGGTTGGGCTGCTTGAGAGTGGGGACTGGGCTGGCCTCCAGACGGCCCAAGAGTCCCACAACGGCCCAAGAGTGCTCCCAAAAGACTCCCACGAAGCCCCAGAGACGCCAAGTAACATCATGGCTCCCAACTGCGAGCGGTGACGTAAGAAATTCTGAACACCAAGGATCCCCAGAGCGCGGTGACGTAAAATGCTCTGAACCGCAAGGCTCCCAAGATCGAGCGGCAACGCAACAGTGTCTGAACACCAGGGCTCCCAACGGAGAGCAGCGACGTAACAAGCTCTCCACACCGAGGCTCCCAAGAGCGAAGGGTGTCATGAGCCCTCTCGGGCAAGTTCCTGCAGCGCTCTGTCTGTGTCCGTGCCCAGGTAAACGACAGAGCGAGGTACGAGTGATGACGTTGTGGTGGGGCGAAGCCCTCCAGGGAGGTGTCCAGGGGAGGGGCAAGGGGGGAACGTTTGGTTGCTAATAGCCGCCCGGGGGCCGTTTCACTTGTATCGAGTGAAGCTGTTCGAGGGGAGCTTCCATTCTTCGTATTTTTGTCGAGTGAAGCGGTTGAAGGGCCCCAAGACGGCCCAAGAGGGCACCAACACGACCCAAAGGCGGCCCCAAGAGAGCCTGAGATGGCATCCAGACGGTCCAAGAGAGCCTCAAGACGGTTCCAGAGGCTTTCCAAGTTCCCGAGAGGGCCCCCAAGGGCAGACTTGTTTGATTTCTTTATGGTGTTGCAGGTTTATGGGGTTCTTGCTTTTTTCTGCCCAAGAACTGTCCAAAACGGCCCACGAGGCTCCAACGATCGCCCCAAGACGGCCCAAGAGGCCCCCGAAAAGGCCCGAGGGCGTTCCAAGAGGGCCCCAAGACGGCCCCAGGGGGGCCCAAATCGGCCCAAGAGGGCACCAAAACGGCCCAAGAGGGCCCCAAGACGGCCCCGAGAGAGCCCCAAGAGGGCCCACAGAGGCTCCCAAGAAGGCCTCAAGAGGCCCCCAAGAGAGCCCCAAGACGGCCAAAGGCTTCCAAGACGCTCGTAGATGGCCCAAATGGGCGCCAAGACGTGCTCCAAAAGGGCTCCTGAAGGGCTCCAAAAGGGCCCAAAAAAGACCCCGACGACGCCCAAGAGACGCTCTAGAACACCATGGCTCCCATCAGCGAGCGGTGACGTAGCAAGCTCTTGACACCAAGGCTCCCCAGAGCGCAGTGACGTGAAAAGCTTGGCACACCAAGGCTCCCAAGAGCGAGCGGCAACGTAACAGTCTCTGAACACCAGGGCTCCCAACGCAGAGCAGCGACGTAACAAGCTCTCCACACCGAGGCTCCCAAGAGCGAAGGGTGTCATGAGCCCTCTCGGGCAAGTTCCTGCAGCGCTCTGTCTGTGTCCGTGCCCAGGTAACCGACAGAGCGAGGTACGAGTGATGACGTTGTGGTGGGGCGAAGCCCTCCAGGGAGGTGTCCAGGGGAGGGGCAAGGGGGGAACGTTTGGTTGCTAATAGCCGCCCAGGGGCAGTTTCCCTTGTATGGTTTCGAGTGAAGTTGTTCGCGGGCGTCTTCCACGGTCCGTGTCTTCGTATTTTTGTCGAGTGAAGCGGTTGAAGGGCCCCAAGACGGCCCAAGAGGGCACCAAAACGACCCAACGACGGCCCCAAGAGACCTTCGATTCCTCCAGACGGTCCAAGAGAGCGTCCAGACGGCTCCAGAGGCTCTCCAGAGGGCCCCCAAGGGGGCCAGAGGAGGCCAATGTCCCTAAGGTGTTGCAGGTGTTTCGGGTTCTCTCGCCTTCTTCTGGTGCCCAGAAAGGCCCCCAGACGGCCCAATGAGGCCCCAGAGATCGTCCCCAGACGGCCCCCGAGGCTCCCCAAAGGGGCCCCGGGACGGTCCCAGAGGGGCCCAAGACGGCCCCCAAGAGGGGCCCCGAGGCGGCTCCTCCAAGACGGCCCCAAGACGGCCGTGGTGGTCCCCTGCGGTGGTCCCGTGGCTTCCTCGCAGCTGTCCCCTTGGTTGTCCCGCGGCTGTTGTCCCCCGCTGGGCGCGCTCCTCGGGGGCCTCTCCCCAAGAGGCTCCTCCCGGGCGCGCTCCCTCGGCTCTGGGGGGGCTCTCAGAGCCCCCCGAGAGGCTCGCCGAGATGCCCTGAGAGGGCCAAGATCCTAAGAGGGCGAAAACAGTCCAGAGGGCCCCCAGACGGGCCCTAGACGGCCCAAGACGGCCCCAAGAGGCTCCCAAGAGGACCCGAAGAGGCGGTATGGGGATTGGGCTGCTTGAGAGTGGGGACTGGGCTGGCCCCCAGACGGCCCAAGAGTCAAACAACGGCCCAAGAGGGCTCCCCAAAGACTCCCAAGAACGGCCAAGAGTCCCCCAAAATGCTCGCCAAGGTGCCCAAGAGGGCTACAGTCGACCCGCATACGGTAATTAACGATGGGCGATTTTCCCGAGGGAAGCTTTGCGTCCTTGCCCCCTCGGTGCATGCTTAGCCACTTTCGCTGGCCGCGCCCCGCTGGAAAAGCTTCGAAGCAGCCTTCCCTTCCCCTGGAATCCTTCCTCATGATACGGGTCGGCTGTACAGTCGAGCCTGATTAGTAGGCCGACTCTGCCAAATCAAGGGTACCCTTGTGTGTCCTGTGGTTCGCGGCCGATGCCTTCCTACACTCCTACAGATTTGGAGGACGATCAATGGAGAGGAAACATGTTGCCAAATAATTTCCAGATGCCTAAAACATACAACAGCATGTTTAACACGTGCTTATAACATTTTTCCTACATTCTAAACATCTTGTTAAATTCGATGACAGGACTGTTAGGGTGTCCGTTGTCGTGGCATCCCACACTCCTACAGCACACGCGTGGCCCCGCGGAAGGATCTTGTGCCCTCTCGCGTGCTCTCCCCAATCAACCCCGACTCTAAGGAGGAGGAGGAGGCGGAGGAGGAGGCGGAGGCGGAGGGGGAGGGGGAGGAGGAGAAAGAGGAGGAGGAGGAGGAGGAGGAGGAGGAAGGCGGAGGCGGAGGCGGAGGCGGAGGCGGAGGCGGAGGCGGAGGTGGAGGCGGAGGAGGAGGAGGAGGAGGAGGCGGAGGAGGAGGGAGGAGGCGGAGGCGGGCCCAGGATTGCTTCAAGACGGCCCACGAGGCTCCCTCGGCGTTCCAGGAGGAGCCCAAGAGGATCCCCGAGTGGGCCCCAAGAGGCAGCAGTCGTTGATTTTCTCAATCTTTGTTTGTAGCAGTTCAGCGTTCTCGCCGTTTCCGTCTTCCGACCGCCCAGGTCAGCTCAAGATTCGCAAGCCGTCACAGAGGCCGCGCTCAAGAGATTTCCTGCGCTCGCAGGCCTCTCGAGTCAAGAGGCCTCCAAGACCGCCCCTGGAAGACGGAGCAGGAGGAAGGAGGACGATTGAGGAGGGGGATGGAGGCCTGAAGACGAGTACGGAGGAGATGAAGGAGAAAGCGGAGGATGGAGGAGCTCGCAGGAGGCACAGGGGGAGGAAGGAGGTATGAAACAGAGGAGCGAGTCGGAGCAGGGCCCCCGCCTCAGGCCACCTGGTCGGCCGACCGGCGGCAGTGGTGCTGCGAGAGGAAGCAGGTCGGCTGCGGCGAGCAGACGGCCGCGGCGCCCCCGACCGGGGAGGCAGAAGGCGGGCCGTCGCGAGGAGAGGAGGAGGAGGAGGAGGAGGAGGCGGCGGCGGCGGCGACGGCGGAGGCGGAGGAGGAGAGGAGGAGGAGGAGGAGGAGGAGAAGGAGGAGGAGGAGGAGGAGAGGAGGCGGAGGAGGACGAGGAAGGAGGAGGACGAGGAGGAGGAGGACGAGGAGGAGGAGAAGGAGGAGGAGGAGGAGGAGGAGGAGGAGGGAAGAGGAGGAGGAGGAGGCGGCGGAGGAGGAGGAAGCGGAGGAGGAGCTCAAGCATCATTGTTATCTTCATCGTATTCCTGGAGCGGTGCTTGGATCGGTGCCGCAGCATGATTCGGGAGGAGTGGCGATTATCATAGCGCAGATGTCGCAGATGGAGGCGGAGGAGGCGATTCGCGTCGGAAGATTGAAACACGAGATCCTGGTCCATGGCAGGGCCCAGCGCGTCATGATCAAGGCGCGTGCTAACGACCATCGTGCTGACACCATGTCCATAGTGTACAACATCCACAACTTCGGGCTGTCGAGGGCGCAGGTGGACTTGATCTCGGCCAGGATTGCAGCGGAGTCTTCTGTGGCATCACAAAGCCCATACAGTACGACCGTCCTTGCTGTGGGTGATTTCAACTACACGGAGACGGCGGCGATGCACCTTCATGCCCCAGAGATTGACAAAGGACTGGTTCACCCTCCTCGTCAAAGAGAGTTTTGTGATGTATGGGCGGCTGCCTTTGCGGGGATGACAGAGCTTGACCCAGAGCTACCCACTCACTTCATCAAAGACGATCAACGATTAACACAGCTTATAAGGTTTTCATAAGTACGCCACCTTGGGTACTGATTCAATGGTCGATTGCAGCAACAGTCGCCTATCCGCCAGAAGAGTTGTTCGCTGAAGGCATATCGGATCACTCACCCGTGCAGATCAGCTTCGCCCCCAGGGATATGAAGCCAGAGGAGGACCAGCCTGTTCCTGCCTTTATACGCAAGCAGCCAGAGTTCAAGCACTTCTTGGACTTGTTGATGAGCCAATCGGACATATATTTACTGCAGGCGGTTCCCAGGTGGGCGGAGTACAAGAGATTGCTGAGGGAGGCTGCCCGTCTGACGCGTAACAAGCTTGTGAGCATGCGCACGCCACCGCTGGAGGCGAAGCTAGTTCTGTTTCGTTCCATTGCACGCGCAGTCCATTTCAATGATGTCAGGCTTGCCCGCACGTTGTTAGCATCAGGCCCCCTTCCAGCTGAGTTGTTGCCGGTTTCGTCGGAGCAGGTTGCATCTCTTGTCTCGCCCATGGACTTCCGTAGGAAATATGAAGCGCTGCAGCAGGAGATCTCTGAAGGCAGAGTTCGCAGGTCGGAGACCCAGGCGAAAGATTCACCCTGCTGGGCTGAGAAGAAGCGCTTGCGTGCCTATGCACGGGCGGAGAGGCGCAGGGGGAAGCTATGGGCTCCGAAGGGCAAGATTCTCCCCCTCCAGGGCCTTCTCGCTCCTGACGGTTCGGTGGTTACTTCCCCCTCGGCCATTGTCACGTCTCTTCGGAACCATTGGGGCCCCGTCTTTGCGCCTCGCCCTGTCTCGCGACGCCATCTCAATGCCTATCCCGACAAGCATGTGAAGCGGTTCGATTTTTCGGGTGTGGCCCCACCCACAGTTCACTCGATTGCCAGTGTAATTAAACGGGCGAGACCGACGGCCCATGGGCCAGATGGACTACCCTATGCTGCGTGGCAGCAGAGTCCGATGTCGCAAGATATTTTGGACGGGCTCTTGCTAGAGCTATTGAGTGGCTATCCCCCTCCCACTTCTTTGAACGACCTCCTCCTGATCTTCGCCCCCAAGGGTAGACGGGGGCAGGATGCGTCCTTTGTGCTACGTGAGCCACAGAACACGAGACCCTTGGCGCTGAAGAACTCAGATGTGAAAATTTTGGCCCCGGCGCGTAACGAGCAGGTGAAGAGACAGGTTGCGCAGCAGGCTCGCCCTGACCAGCGTGGATTTCTAGTGAAGAGACAATTTCTTGGACAATATAACATTGCCCGACACCTCCGCACGTGTAGCCAGCATGCACCCAGAAGCCAGTTCACGTCTCCCCTGTCTCCTCTTCCCCGACATCGTAGTGCCTTCCCCTTCCCTCCCCCACTCCTTCCTCTGGGCTGTGCTCGAGCGATGTGGCTACCCGCTAGGACTCCAGCAGTTTGCCCAAGCCACCTATGCCTTCGCGATGTCTCGGACGGCGGTTCTAGGACAGTTGTGGACATGTTGCACGATCATGTCTGGCGTGATGCAAGGACACCCTGCCTCAGGTTTGTTATGGGCCCTAGCGATGGATCCTTTCTTGGGGGGCATGCGTTCCAGGCTTCGCAAACATCCAGGGTGCGAAATCGGAGTCTGCGCGGATGATATCGGTGCGACGGTGGCTGAATTACAGGCCCTATCGAGGCTTTCAGGTGTTTTTTTTTACGCCGTGGATTTTCTAGCTGGCCTCGCCCTCAAGATCCCCAAATGTCGCCTCGCCCCCGTCTTTGAGGCCTTCTCCACCTCCCTTCAAACGCAAGTCCAGGAGCGATTGGCCAAGCTAGCACCGCGATGGCGTTCGATCCCGGTTGTAGATGCTGCTGAATATTTAGGCGTCTGGTCTGGTCCTGCGGCGGCGAACCATGTCTGGGCGAGGGCGTTTCGGGAGTGGGTGGGTGTTGTCAGGAGTACCGCAGAGACCAAGGTGCCACCGTCGGTAGCTCTGTACATGTACAAGTCGCGAGCTGTCTCGAAATTCAGTTATCTGGCGCAACTGAGCCCGCTTCCTAGAGCTATAGCGAAGTGGGAGTCTTGGGCATTGCATAAGATATTGCATCTTCCGCCGTTCTCGGTTCCGCTGGACCAATTGCTTGCATTGCGTCATTGGTCGAAGTTGAGACCCCTGCCCCTTCAGGCTCAGACTGTGGCCGCTCTGATTCGAACTGCCCAGTGCACGGTCACGAACTGGAGACCACTTTGGTCCAGGCTTCAGAAAGTCGCTGAGTCGGCCCTCCCGTTGACAACGTGGTTGGCTGATGTCTGGTCGCCTGCGCACTGGCAGTCGCCTCCGCGCGTCCAGGAGCTGGCGAGAGCGGACCGAGGGTTCTCTGGAGTGGCCCCCTGAGGTCGGCGGTCGCGGCGGCCCTTCGAGCTCTCGACGAGGCGCAGCGGGTGGACCCACGTGCCCCTGTGCAGCGCACTCTCGCCAGATCCTTGGCCAGTTCTCTTGTCGTAGAAGATTTTGCCCCCATCATTTGGAGGCGCCTGGCCAAGTGGGCGTCTCGGACCCCATCCCGCCGGGCTCGTGCTGGGGTGAGCTGGCCCGCGCTTCGAGAGTGCTGGGCTAGCTTCCCTCCTGCGTGGCAAAGTTCGGTCATAAAAACCCTGGTGGGTGGGTGGACGACGGAGCGGAGGATGACGCAGACCGACTGCCGTTGCAAATTCGGCTGCACGGATGCGCTGGACGCGCAAACTCATTACATGGCGTGCCCGTATCTGTGGGGGGCGGTGCTCTCGGTGTGGTGGCCCCAGGAGCCTATTGAAGTGTTCCTCGATCGTCGCCTCGGTCTCGCTCGAGAAATGTCGGAGCCCCAGAGACTGAGAGCGCTCGAGCGGATTATTATCGCTTTTTATATGTACAATTCGGTTCGTCGGTTCAATGGCACCGACGAGGAGTCTTTACATCAATGTGCTCGAGCTGCGAGATCGCAGTTCCTGCAGCAAGCCGAGCCTAGCGAGGACTACGGTGGTTGAACTCCTTCCGAGGCTACGTCTGAGGAAGCGGAGGAGGAGGAGGAGGACCTGCGACTCGGATGCCCCCTGCGATTTGCAGAGGGCGCCACGACTGACACGTGGAGCGCGCGGCTATACCCCGAAGCCGCGTGGGCGGCACCACGGAATGGGAACCCCGCTGGCTGGTGACACTAGGCCTTGAGGTGTCGTGAGGCATTGGAGCGTAGCCTACGACTCTCCCTACGACTCTCCTGCGTCGTTGACTGTGGATTGCGGGTGCGGGGATGATAATATGTGTTGGTTTGGGTATGGTTGGTCGCGTGGGGCATCGCGAAGGTCACCGATACCAGCCCATGGACCCACGTGAGAGACTCCACCCCCTGTGCGCAGCAAGTGGCTGAAAGCAGAGGCGGCTTTTGTGCCACGTGCTGGGTCTAGGTCCAGAGGCGGGTATGGACATCCGTGTGGTTATCGGTACACATACAGTGGAGACCCACGCCAAGAAACATCCTGCTCACCTCCAGGGTGCCCTGGGTTTCTTAGGCTTCGATGGTTTTGCGATGGAGAGCGCGACGTTCCCACACCAAAAATCAGAGGACGTCCTGGGGTCTCAGGGCTGGGTTATTTGTGGAAGGTTCCTCGTGGACTGGCCTCCACCTGTACATGGTGCCACCTGCCTGGGCGCGGTCGCGGGCAGGTGTGCCTGTTGCTAGGTGTAGCGGCCTGCCGCTGGGAGAAACATGCACGGAACGAGTTCTGGGAAGTGTCACGGATGCATTGTGGAGGTCCGTGCCAAGAAACACCTCGCTTGCTTCCAGGATGCCCTGGGCTTCTTGGGCTTCGATGGCTTTGCGACGGAGGGCGCGACGTTCCCACGCCAAGAATCGATGGACGTCCTGGGGTCTCAGGGCTGGGTTTCTTGTGGCAGGTTTCTCGTGGACTGGCCTCCACTGAACGTGCGACCTGCCGGGGCGCGGTCGCGGGCAGGAGTGCCCTCTACTAGGTGTAACGGCCTGCCGCTGGGAGGAGGAGAGGAGGAGGGGAGGAGGGGAGGAGGAGGAGGGAGGAGGGAAGGAGGGAGGGAGGGAGGAGGGAGGGAGGGAGGAGGGAGGGAGAGGGAGGGAGGAGGAGGAGGAGGAGGAGGAGGACGAGGAGGAGGAGGAGCGGAGGAGGCGGGAGGCGGAAGGCGGAGGAGGAGGAGGAGGAGGAGGAGGAGGGGGAGGAGGAGGAGGAGGAGGAGGAGGAGGAAGAGGAGGAG